TTTACACAAACACAGGCGTGCGTTTGTTGTTGACAAGAGGATTACCACGTCAATAAGAAGAGAGGAAGAGCAGGCGGCGGAGGAGGAAGAGGAGGAGGAGGAAGGTAATGACAGACAGGAGGACAAAGAGAAAGAGTGACAGACAGAGAAAAAGGAAAAGTGAGCATCTTTGTTGGAAACACTTTGTCATTAAGACTCCACGTGATTGGCTGCTGCTGGTGTCACAGACGCTTTCTCATAAACTGGCGAGATGTTTGAAGTCAAATGAATGACAGGTATGTGAAGAGACAAATGAAACATAAGACAGGAAGTATAGGAGACACAGACAGCACATTTTACATTTTTAAAAATCATTAATTACCAATAAGTTTTGTCCCGTTAAAGCTCCAATCAGTGAGATGATAAAGGTATCTTACTATCTGATCATTAAGGAAACATGCTATGTTGAAGTGCTGGCTTCTCTGACAACAATGCAGCAGCCAGTATGTCCTCCTTCTAACTTTAGATTCTGCTCCTGAATGCTCTGGATTTGTTTGGACTAGAGAAGGTAGGCGGTTTTAAGAGACACCCCCCCCACAGCCGTTTTGGACCCCTCGGTTTGTCAGATATGAGAGCAGTTATCAGGTCAACAGGTGTTGCAGCGATGGAAGTGATCAAGAGAAGTGGTTCAGATAGAAGTGATTGTACCTGACAGCTCTCTGCAATGTTTAGAATTTGGACTGCAGGTCAAACAATCAGGATGACACAAATCTTCCAAGATGGATGCATGAACAAACACAACGGCCCCAGATCCTCTTTCTCCTCCTCTTTTTCCTCCTCCTCCTCCTCCTCCTCCTCCTCCTCCTCCCTCCTTTTCATTCTCCTCCTCATCAGGATGACACAAATCTTCCAAGATGGATGCATGAAAAACAAACGGCCCCAGATCCTCTTTCTCCTCCTCTTTTTCCTCCTCCTCCTCTCCTCTCCTCCTCCTCTCCTCTTTTTCATTCTCCTCCTCCTCCTCCTCCTCTCCTCCTTTTCCTCCTCCTCCTCCTCCTCTTCTTCCTCCTCTTCCTCCTCCTCTTTTCCTTCTCCTCCTCCTCTCCTCCTCCTTTTCCTCCTCCTCTCCTCCTCCTCTTTTCCTTCTCCTCCTCCTCTCCTCCTTTTCTCCTCCTCTTCCTCCTCCTCCTTTCCTTCTCCTCCTCCTCCTTCTCCTCCTCCTCCTCCTCTCTTTTCCTCCTCCTCTTCTCCTCTTCCTCCTCCTCCTTTTCCTTCTCCTCCTCCTCCTCCTCCTTTTCCTCCTCCTCCTCCTCCTTCTCCTCCTTTTCCTCCTCCTCCTCCTCCTCCTCCTCCTCCTCCTCCTCTCCTCCTCCTCCTCCTCTTCCTTCTCCTCCTCCTCCTCCTCCTCCTCCTCCTCCTCCTCCCCCTCCTCCTTCTCCTCCTCCTCCTCCTCCTTCTCCTCCTCCTCCTCCTCCTCCTCCTCCTCCTCCTCCTCCTTCTCCTCCTCCTCCTCCTCCTTCTCCTCCTTTTCCTCCTCCTCCTCCTCCTCCTCCTCCTCCTCTTCCTCCTCCTCCTTTTCCTTCTCCTCCTCTCCTCCTCCTCCTTTTCCTCCTCCTCTTCCTCCTCCTCCTTTTCCTCTCCTCCTCCTCCTTTTCCTTCTCCTCCTCCTTCTCTTCCTCCTCCTTTTCCTCTCCTTTCCTTCTCCTCCTCCTCCTCCTCCTCCTCCTCCTCCTCCTCCTCCTCCTCCTCCTCCTCCTCCTCCTCCTTTTCCTCCTCCTCCTCCTCCTCCTCCTCCTCCTCCTCCTCCTCTCCTCCTCCTCCTCCTCCTTTTCCTCCTCCTCCTCCTCCTTCTCCTCCTTTTCCTCCTCCTCCTCCTCCTCCTTTTCCTTCTCCTCCTCCTCCTCCTCCTTTTCCTCCTCCTCTTCCTCCTCCTCCTTTTCCTCCTCCTCCTCCTCCTTTTCCTTCTCCTCCTCCTTCTCTTCCTCCTCCTTTTCCTCCTCCTCCTCCTCCTCCTCCTCCTCTTCCTCCTCCTCCTTTCCTTCTCCTCCTCCTCCTCTCCTCCTCCTCCTCCTCCTTTTCCTCCTCCTCCTCCTCCTCCTCCTTTTCCTTCTCCTCCTCCTCCTCCTCCTCCTTTTCCTCCTCCTCTCCTCCTCCTCCTTTTCCTTCTCCTCCTCCTCCTCCTCCTTTTCCTTCTCCTCCTCCTCCTCCTCCATCAAAGATAGATCCTGTGCATTTATTTCTTTTTACCAACTGAGCATTTTAGTCTTTGAGAAATATTTCTGAACTTCTAAAGCATCGTCAGGCTAAATGTAGATTTTGTCTGAGTCCCTCACTTCTCCTGCTTTCCTTTGATCATTTATTTAAGGACCAATACTCAAAGCTTTTAGTCAAATCTAATCTAAAACATGCTGCCAAGGACAAAAAAATAAATTGAATAGCTCTGACCTCTGGCTGGTTTCTGGTCAGATGTGAACTCAGCTGGGAACATGGATGAGTCACTGCTTTGGTTTTCACTCATTACCCT